CCCAGGAGCAAAAGCTGGGGAGTTTCTTTGGAAATTTAGGACGTTCAAAAGCATGTGCACGTATGAGTATACACAGAAATTTAGAAGGCTACACATGCACTTGGAGCAAGAGACATGCTCAGAAAATACCCAAGAAGACCCTAGGCTTTCACCTTGGGCTGATCCCTAGACGCAGCGCAAGCCTGGCTAAGTGTTAAGGACAGCCTCCGCACTGAGCCACTCCGCCAAGACAGAGAGGTGCTTTTTTGTTTTGTTTCCTTTTGTTGTTTGTTTTTCAGCTCTGGGCACTCAAAGAAATCTGTCAAAACACTAGGTGAACACAAACTAAGGCACACAGACTTCAATAACCATACACAACACAGAATATAGTCTTTACAAAAATAGTTTGGGCAAGTTAGTAAACAAATGGACCATTACAACCTTCAACAATCAAAAAAATGGTACACCCCAGGGAAAGGGAAGAATTTGATTTCCAGAGTTACCACATTATAATATTCAAATGTCCAGTTTTCTCCAAAAAAAAAATCACAAAGACATACAAAGACACAAGAAAGTATGGACAATTCAAAGGAACAAAATAAATGAATAGAAACCATCCCTGTGGAAATCCAGACATCAGACTTATCAGACAAAAACTTTAAAATAACTGTCTTATCAACAAATGGAAAGGGGAAAACTGGATATTCACATGCATAAAAATGAAGTTACCTTATACCATATACAAAAATTAACTCAAAATTGATTAAAGACCTAAAACTATAAAGATCCTAGAAGAAAACAAGGAAAAAGCTTCACAACATTGGATTTAGCAATGAGTTCTCGGATATGACACAAATGCCCAGGCAATGAAAGTAAAAACAGACAAATGCAACTACATCAAACTTAAAAACTTCTGTGCATCAAAGGACACAATCAATAGAGTGAAATGGCAACCTATGGAATGGGAGAAAATATTTGCAAATCATATCTGATAATGGGATAATATCCAGAATATATAAAGAACACGAACAAGTCAACAACAACAAAAAAAACCCAATTCAAAACTGAGAGCCAGGGGCCAGCCTGGTGGCACAGCGGTTAAGTTTGTGTGCTTTGCTTCGCTGGCCCAAGGTTCACACGTTCGGATCCTGGGCGCAGACCCACACACTGCTTATCAACTCCTCTTGTGGAGGCATCCCATATAAAGTAGAGGAAGACGAGCAAGGATGTTAGCCCAGGGCCAATCTTCCTCAGCAAAAAAAAAAAAAAAAAAAAAAGGAGGATTGGCAACAGATGTTAGCTCAGGGCTAATCTTACTCAAAAAAGAAAAAAAAATGAGCACCAGCCCTGATGGCCAAGTGGTTCAAGTTTGGTGCACTCTGCTTCGGTGGCCTGGGCTTGGTTCCTGGGCATGGAACCACACCACTCATCTGCCAGTAGCCATGCTGTGGTGGCTCACACAAAGGAACTAGAAGGACTTACAACTAGAATACACCACTATGTACTGGCGCTTTGGGGAGGGGAAAAAACAAGAGAGGGAAGATTGGCAACAGATGTTAAGCTCATGGCGAATTTTTTCCCAGCAAAAAAAAAAGAGCAAAGGACCTGAATAGACATTTCTCCAAAGACATATACAAATGGCCAATAAGCACATGAAAAGATGCTCAACATCATCAGATATTAGGGAAATGCAAATCAAAACCACAATGAGACAGCATCTCACACCCATTAGGATGGCTCTATCAAAAAACAAACAAAAAGTAACAAGTGCTGACAAGGATATGGAAAAATTGGAACTCTTGTGCACTGCTGGTTGAGAATGTAAAATGGTGCAGCTGCTATGGAAAAAGAGTATGGAAGTTCCTCAAAAAATTAAATACAGAATTACCATATGTCTTAACATGAGTACCGCCATGTTTGGCCGCTCCATTGACCTATGGCCACCAGCGCACAAAGAAATATAAAGCTGCTTTCTGTGTGGTGGGAACTGGCCTTTCTCCCACGGAGAGGGTTGCAAGTTGTAACATTTCAAGGCTCTTGGGAGTGTCGTAGCACTGGGATGGACTGGCCATCTGTGCTGGGCTAGGACGATAACCAGAGAGAACAATGCACGTACACAATTACTGGGCTGGGACATTAGCCAGGGGGCTCAGTGCACATACGCCACTGATAACCATTTGTGCATGGAAACACTAAATGCTTGCTCTGCAAACTCTGTAATTGCTTACTCTGAAAATTATTGATGGTATAAAAACTGCTGGAAACTGAGACCTGATGAGAGTTCCACCTGTGGAAGGGACACTTTGTCCAGGACATGTGATCCTTGCCCAGCCGTGTCGATTGACAGGACTCTCCCAGCAGTGGAGTGTGGATATTGTGAGTAACTGATTTGATGTGAAGTAACTGATTTGATGTCAAGTAATTGATCTGAGGTGTTCTCTTTTTGGTCAACCTGGTGTTTCTCTTTCCGGTTGATTTGTGTCCCTTCTCTTCAGTTGATGTGGATGTTTTTTTTCCCTTTCCAGTCGAGCTGATGTTTTTTCCCTCTTAATATTTGACCTATTCGGATCTGTTTGCAGACTATCACCTTTACTACCCTCTATATAATAAAATATACCTTCAGTTCATTTGTTTGGAGTGGAGAGTGTCTTTTACATCTCGGATCAAATCCCCAAACCTCTCGTAACACCATATGATCCAGCAATTCCTTTCTACCCCAAATACCCCAAAGAACTGAAAGCAGGGATTCAGATACTTGTACACCAATGTTCACAGCAGCATTATTCACAATAGTGAAAAGGTAGAAGTAACCCAAGTGTCCATCAACAGATGAATGGATAAACAAACCGTGGTAAATACATACAATGGAATATTATTCAGCCATAAAAAGAAATGAAATTCTGACACATGCTACATGGACGAACCTTGAAGACATTATGCCAAGTGAAATAAGTCAGACACAAAAGGACAAATACCTACAATGATTCCACTTATATGAGGTACCTAAAGCAGTCCAATTTGTAGAATCAGGAAGTAGAATGGTGGTTCCCAAGAGCAGGAGGGAGAGGGAACTGGGGAGTTATTATTTAATGGGTATGGAGTGTCAGTTTGGGAAAATGAAAAGTTCTGGAGATGGATGGAGGTGACGGTTGAACATCAATGTGAATATACTTAATGCCACTGCACTGTACTTAAAAATGGTTAAAATGGTAAATTTTGTCATGTGTATTTTGCCACACACACAACAAAAAACCACACTAAGATACCACTTCACACCTATTAGGACAGCTATAAAAAAACCAAAAACCGGAAAATAGCAAGTGTTAGTGACAATGTGGAGAAACTGGAACCATTATACATTGCTGGTGGGAATGTAAAATGGTGCAGCCCCGTGGAAAAGTTTGGCAGTTCCTCAAAAGCTAAGCAGAACCACGATATGATTCAGCAATTCCACACCTAGCTATATAAACAAAAGAACTGAGAATGTACTGACAACTACTTGTACGTGAGTGTTCATATCAGCACTATTCAAACAGCCAAAAGGTGAAAACAACCCAAATGTCCATCAATGGATGAAGGTGTAACAAAATATATCCATAAAATAGAATATTATTCAGCTCCTGAAAGGAATGAAGTACTGATACATGCTACAACGTGCGTGAAACTTAGAAATATTATGCTAAGTGAAAGAAACCAGACACAAAAGATCACATGTTGTATGAATAAACTTATATGAAATATCTAGAACAAGCAAATTCATAGAGACAGAAAGTAGATTAGAAATTCCAGGGGTCGGGGGAGGAGAAAAATGGGGAGTCAATGATTAATTGTTAAAGAATTTGTCTGGGGTAATGAAAAAGTTTTGGAAACAGATAATGGTGATGGTTGCACAACATCGTGAACGTAATTAATGCCCCAAATTGTAAAAACTGCAAATTTCATATGTTATATATATTTCACCACAATTTTGAAAAAAATGTAAAATATCAAAACTACCGCATTGTACACTTTTAATGGATCAATTGTATGTGAATATCTCAATAAAGGAGTTTTAATAAAAGATAACTACTGTTAAAAATATGATTATCCTGTAACTCTCCTGGTCTGAAATCAGAACTTTATAGACAGGTTACAAACAGAAGCTGACCACTGATCTGTGCAATGAGGCACCTACCATCAAAGAAGGAAATCATTTTTAAGCCCCATATAGATACTGAATCTTCAGATCCAGGGATGTTTACATTCCTGCATTAAAATCAGTGTACTTATGGAAAATAAAGTTATGCTTGAAGTTAAAAAAAATATGTAAAAATAAAAACGGCAAATTTTGTTATATATTTTTCCATACTAAAAATAATTTCAAAAAAAAAAAAAAGACAAGTACACCAGAGCACAGGCAACACATTCAAAGCATAGATAAGAAACACTGCACGGTTTATTGATCACACAAGTGATCAAGCTGCTGGAGTCAAGTGTTCAGTTTGGGGCATACTAAATAGCTACTGAGTCCACACTGGAGAGCTCTGAATAAAAATGACTGAACTAGATAGAATTGGCAATAGAAAGCTGTTTTAGGGTCATTGCATGCTTAAGAGAAGAATTAAATGAACGGAGATATATAAGCAAGTTAGAGAAAGGAAATGAAAACACAAGAAATATTAACACAGGAATCCAGTAGTTTCCTTACTTTTGCTGTTGCTGTACTAGGATTACTGCTCATCTTTGAATACTTATATAACTTTTCACATGATTAAAGGCTCTACAGGGGCCATTCTTATCTTTTTCTCCTTCCACTTTTAACCCAACAAACACCAACTGAACACAGGCTGCGCAATACGACAATGAACAAATCTCGCCATTGACCTTAACCAACATTTTGGGGCCCATAAAACCCAACCCCCCGTGAAGAATCTAGACAAACACTAGTCGTGCTTTCTTTACCATTTTTTAAAATAGAGAAGTGGGTATTCACTTTTTAATGGATTTTTTTTTAGCGAATAATCAGGCTGGGTTTTACTCACCTATTTCCTCTGATTCTTGCCCAGAGGCTCTCCGCTTACATTCCTTTGGATAGTGCTTTTGAATTATCTCCCACAGCTCCATATTGACAAGAGACTTTCTTCGGGTATGGTACCGGGTCCACGAAGAGACCCGGCGGCGACAGAAGGGACAGCATAAACTTGCCTTTTCGACAGTCGATTGGAAGCATGGATTACAGAGCGTGTGGTTACAAGGGAGTGTTACGGGCTCAATCAGGATTTCCACACAAATCGGGCACTGGCATTCCGACAAGGAAGGGATGGCGTCTTTGGGTACCGCCATATTAAGATGCTAATAAGGCAGATTCAACATCAACGCCCGAAAAGAGAAAGAAGCGTAGTTCCGGACCAACTACGCAGAAAGCAAATTAACAGTTTTGTGTTTCAATATTATGCCCAGCAGCGCGTCAGAATTCACAGATTGGGCGCAAACTCGTCTTGAGGCAAAAGGAGCTCTGTGGCCCAGGTAAACAGTACTCCCTGGAAGGCGGTGTATTTGTCCACGTTTAAGGCAAAGTCGGGTAAGAAAATAAATGAACGTTTCTGTCTGGAGACGCTGGCCGCTCCGAGGTATTTACATAACGGTTGCGGCAGAGCGGACGGTGGGTTCCGGCTCTCCGCGGCGGCGAGAGGTAACGCGCCAAGTTCTCCTCCTCCCTCTTACCAGGTGAGGATGCTCCCTTAGCTCCCGGCAGCCAAGCCCCAGGCCGCCGCTCCGGCAACAACGCTGCCTTCGCCCGGACGCCGGGCTCCGCTGGAGCAGCACTTCCTTTTCCCCGTTGCAGTAGGCACAGCCCGGGAGCCCCCGCGTTCCACTTTTCCGGCGCCCTGCGCCCCTCCCCACTTCGATCAGCCGAAAAGCGTAATCGCTGTGGTGGTGCCGTAGCAACCCGACGACGTCTAGTGACGTCACAACTGCCCGCCAAAACAGCCCCTCCCACCCAGAGAACCGCTCAAGGTTCTAACGTTTGGTGGGTGGGACTTCCGGTCCGGAAGAGGGCCCTGCCGGCGCGTCGCAGCTCCTAGTGCTTCAGCTTGGGCGGAGTCCAATCCTGCCCTGCGCTGTCTGCTCCCAGAGGCTGCGGAAACCGCGGAGTGTTGCCAGATTGTCTCTGGAGAGAAACGTGAAACCTCAAAACAAATTGAAAAACCGAACAGTGGGTTTTTGAAATGCGTCCCTCAGTACTGCTCAAACTACCTTTCTGTTTTTGTTAATTTGTAACTAAGCCTCTTAGGTCGCTTTCCAGAGTTCTTAGAAAAGCAGCTCCAAGGTTGGTCTCCGAGAAAGGGTGTGGTCAGAGAATCTGCGAACTTCCTGCGCTTTAACGGGCACTTACACTTTCTTGTAGAGCCCAGCCCCTTTCTAAGGCTCGGCCCGGAGAGATTGTATTGGGTTGCCTTTCTTCCTAAGGAGTTGGGAAACAAAGTGCAGGGCGGCTTCGATCCTGGGGCTCAGCAGTTATGTGCCTCATTTGTAATGTACTACTTTACTATTATATTTCAATCTAGAACAATCAAAATTAGAAAGGAAATCAAAAAGAAAATAGTTTAACATTGTGGGGGAAGAGGAAGAATCCCCCTCTGCCCTTTCCCTTAAGGTTTCTTATGGCTGGCCAAATAATTAACAAGACAGGTTAGCAGGAGAAAATAATACCAAGTTTAATAACATGTATACATGGGAGAAAGCAGGGACACTGCCTTTCTCCATACAATAGCAGAAATTCTTAAATACCATGTTCAGCCAATGACAAAGGAGGATGTTGGGGTTGGGGGGAGTCAATTACAGGAGATTACCGCTAAAGCACAGTAAACAAGAGTAAGGTTATTATGCAGATTTAAGGCCTCACCTTCCACATTGATAAGCCTCTAGAAATGAGGCCATCCCCCCTCTTCCCAATACAGAGAGGGAGATACCTTTACAAATGGAGATTTCCCTTATAAATGTAAATGTTTTTCTGGCAACTCCTTGGAGGGCCATCCAGAGAATGTGGCCAGAGAGACATAAGATGAGCTTGTTCGTGCCTTTTCTATTGTAACATCTATTTTACATTATATTACAGCCATCAGATAGAAGCTCTGTTCCAGGAAGGCGTTACTATGTCAAATTCTTTAGGCAGTTAGTGGGGGAGGTCAAATGTCCGTCAGAGAAAACAATCAAAGTAAAGAGATAGATTTCAGGGTGGCCAAATCTTGATCTCCCACAACATTTTATGCGTAAGTTTTTCCACTTTGATATTAAGTTCTTGTACTGACAACTGATCCTCCTGAGTTTAGTTCTATGAAAAAAGTACATTCTGGCTAGGAAAATGAGGAAGATTAGAGACTGTGATCCTTAGTACCTAAGAACAAGCCCTCAGAGAGACAGAAAGTAGAATGGTGATTGTTACAGGCTGGGAGAGTTATTTTTTAATGGGTATAGAGTTTCAGTTTTACAAGTTCTGGTGATGAATGTTGGTGATGTTTGCATTCATAATGTACACTTAAAAATGATTAAGATGGCACCTTGTATGTTATGTGTATTTTATCACAATAGTAATTTTTAAAAAAGAACTTGGCCTGAGTTTTTTGAGGAAATCAACTGGAGAAAAGAAAATCACTGTGCATGAAAATAGTCTTTAAGGTCTTTTGGGTTTGCTGAGGTCATTCAGGTTGGGGAGATGAGTGGTTTCCAGATGGAACCAAGACAAGGAGGTGTGGGTCCTTGGTAGAGAGCTTTGTTTTCTTTAATGTGAGTTGGGAAATCTTTGGTTGTCATCCAGTTGTCCATAGGATCAATCCCTTAACCTGGAATTCCAGGCTCTCTAATATGATCCCAACCTGCTTTTTTCGTGCAGTCTCCCATTTTTTTATATATTCAACTGTGATCTGTTTGCTGTCATTTTGTGCTTTCAGGTCCATTGCTGTCTCAATTCATCCTAAATGAGTTGCTTTGTGGCTTTGCCTAGTCGACAATCAATTCAACGCAGTTCTCCCAGAAGCATTTCTCCATCACACAGTGATACCCCTCCTCTGAACTCACCCAATCATATATTGCCTAGTGATAGTGGTTTTTATTGTAGTCTTATTATTTAATTCTTGCATTTTGATTTCTATTTTCAGGTACTCATGTCGTGTGTAATGGATACATTTTATGCACTTCCTCAGATTTCCTTGGCCTTGTTTATTTTCTAGATCCACAATCCCTTGGTCGGCCTGGGGCTGACCAGTTGCTTCCTGGAGTCTCTGGCTCCTTCTGCTACTTCTGGGTGTCTGTGAAACACTGCACTGAACAATGCAGGCCCTGACTTCCCAGGGGCTGGTGGGAGGGCTTAGATGATGCATCCTGGAAGTATGAGTGGTCACTCCTCACAGAGCAAACTTTGGCCAATTGGAAACAGTGGACTGAGTAAGCACGGTAGAGAAATTTTTTCCTTCTTCCTTCCGAGGCATGGTTTCTCCAAACAGTGTGTCTGGAGAAGTACCAGACTGAGTGGATGTTTCTGCCAAGCAACCTGTTGTGTCTCTCATGGCTCATTTCCAAGGAGAGGCCAGCAAGGTAACACATCACCTTGTATTACCTCTCATCCTTCTCTACCTAACATCCATCCAGAGTGTTACCTCATTCTGGCTGTCTTGAATTTGTACCTCCCAAATAAAGCATCAACACTTAACCTTTACTTGGAGGACAGGGTCCACATTTTTAAATGTTTCTGTTTTTCACAGCACCTGGCACATGGAATTTGGTGTTCCGTAAATATTATAAATATATGGTCAATGTGTATGAGTTCTCTTTCTAGTATAAATAACTGTGGTACTGTACGAGAGAGAAAAAGTACATCAACATACAATATATATTAGGTGTTCCTTTTTTTGTCTTTTAATGGGTAGTACATTCACGTGGTTCAAATTCAAAATGTACAAGATGCATTAATGGTGAAAAGAGTTCCTCCTACCTTTGACCCCTAGCCTCTTAGTATTCTTCTCTAAGACAAGCAACGTTATCACTTTCTTATGCATCTCTCCAGAAGTCTATGAAGTTTAGGGATATATTAGCTTAAATGTGTGTATGTATATATATACATATTTGTTTTTGCCCTTTTTTTCTGCTTACTATGTATTGGAAATAAATATTTTAAAACAACACATCTTGGTGATAACTCCATATCATACAATAACACAAAGAGCTTCTTCATTCTCTTGTATGGCAACACAGAAAATATCCATTGTATCAATTTATCATAATTTCTTTAACACTCACCGTACTTTTGTTACAAAAATAAGCCTGTGACAAAATTGTACATACATATTTTTTTTTCCCATTTGCAAGATAAATTACCAGAAGTGGAATTGCTAGGTCATAGGGTAACAGGTTAGTTTTTGACTGATGGTATCAACTCTTTTAGGAATGACTTTTGCTCTTCAGGGGCCCTCACTGCTTTCCCCTTCTCAATGACCTGAACAGCCCTCAGCAAACCCTCCTGCAGAGCCTGGTTCTTTACCATGTTAGTGATCAAGACAGTGACATCCCTGATGTACATCTGCCTCACTTTAGCCGTGAAGTGTTCCGCCTTGTTACCATGTGCAATAAAGAAGGTGCAAAGTGCTGTGATATCTCCTTCTTGCAGCCCATACTCCTCCAGGACAGACTCCCACACAATTCTAACGCGCTTGTTCTTGACTTTTCGTCTAAGGACGGAGGCCAAGGTGGGAAGACCTCTCACCAGGTCTGGCAGCTTCTCAAGCACACGAGTGTGCAAACAGATGAGTACTTCAATGACGTAGCTGTATAAAATATTCAATTCCATTGACGTGAACCTACAAAAAACGGAGAGAGCTTCTCAAGCAGTTGAACTCTTCATATATAAATATAAAATAAATTCTATTAGGATAACTCAAAGAAATATAAACCCATTAGGAGAACCAGCTGTGTATTTTAGAAAAAGGACCTGCTAACCTGGATACCTTAATTCTCCAGCCACCAATACTATAAGTTTCTCAATGGCAGAGGAGTTATATTATTCATCTCTGTGTTAGTAAGACTTTGGCAAGCAAGAGACTCTGTGATGAGATGAGTAGCACAGTGTCTGGCATATAAATAGGTGCTCAAATTAATCTTTTTTGAATGAATGAACCTCAGAAAATGTAATTTCTTCACAATCCCTTGTTGGAACCATATTAAGAAATTCAATTTTAGAATGACCACTGTAAGCTCTCACAAAGCCACAAAACTCCACTGATTTCTCATTGGATACTCACTTGACTGCCAGAACTGCTGTCCACAGCTCATCTTGGGCTGCCTGGCTTGCCAATGTCTTGCTATGATGTTCAAATTTCTGTGTCAGATTATCTTTTGTGAAGTCCAGTTCTTTGAACTGTGCTTCTAAAGCTTGGAGTTTGTGTTCTACTCTATAGGATAAAAGAATCAAGGGTTAGTTTAGATCAGGGGACAAAACTAAGGTTTTCACCTTAAGATAAGACTCTAATACATTGTTTACAACTCCTACCAAATTTGAGTAGCTATTCAAATTTAAATTATGAACAGATGTTCCCATTTGCTATTCTCTCTATCTGTCATCCTAAATCTGGCATTCCTTATATTGCCAAACTTTTGAATTGTCTAATTACTTGAATTATCTGCCATGTCCTGTGTTTGTATTGTACTTTATACTTTAAAAAGTATTTTCTACCAGCATTACCTTGATTCTCACAACAATCATAAGAAGTGAAGCAGTCATTTTTACTATTTCACTGATAAAGAAATTGAGTCTCAAAAAGATTGAGACCTAATGTCATATAGCTAGCTAGTGCTGGGACCAGCATTTGATAAGTTGGCATTCTCTACCCTATTCTGGCTGTCCAAATTCTGTCCTTCCTTCAAGGATAAGCTCAAATTCCACGGTCTGCTTGAATCCTCCAGCCTAACTACCTAGAGATCTCCGCCTCACCTACTTCATTCTCACGGGGATTGCCTCTACCGCCTGTCGCTCCCCAGCTCCTGCTTTGTTTTTAGAGTTAGCTTTTCATGACGAAATTGTAAGCTCTTGGAGGGAGGGGATTAGAGACTATTTCTTAGACATCTTTATAGCTGTGCCCCAATACCTAGCAGAGGCCTCACACAGAAGTAATAAAATGTGTCCTGTATGATTGACATCTGTAATGTGAATGAAATGCCCAGCTGTGTAACCCAACATGGGGATTTGAGTAGCTCTGCACAGCCCTAATCATCAGAGGGCGCTGTGGCACTGGAATTATGCCTAACTGAAGCACAAAGAACTGGAACAACAAAACAACTCACTTGCCTGAAGCCACCCACATTGTCTTTCGTTAAGGAAGTGATACACAAACACACATACCACTTCCCTCGGGTTCTACGTCCCCAGCGACCTGAATACTGTTGTGGTTGCCCAGGTTCTATCCTTGACCATCTTCTCTTCTTGGTCCTCACTTTCTCCCAAGGCTAATTCGGCTTCAGGTACCACCTCTTTCCTAAGCTCTAGGCCTATATCTTCAACTATGTTTTGTACATCTCCACCTGGATGAGATGTCAAACTCAACTGTCCTCAACTGAACCTACTATCACCCCCACCCCATCTTCAGACATTACTGCAGTGAAATTTTCTCACTGCTTTGGATTCTGTTGACATATAGATAAGGCTCAATATGAATTATGTCTTTCAGAGGAGCGAAATGACCCAATATGCTGGCAGTCTCTGTCTACACATCAAAACCATGTCATCTGGCTTACTGTTTGTTAACTTTTAGACCTTTAAGACTATGTAGCTTATAGATCATCTCTAGCTTGTCAATCAGTATAAAAGTTTACAGTTGCAGCAGTTCTTTAGAGTCCTCTAACCAAAAGGTATTCCCAGACCATTCCAAATAAATCCTAAACAACATGGGGAATTCTACTACAATTCCACGGCTCAGTTCATGACATCACCATCTATTCTATTGCTTGAACTAGAAATCTCAGAATAATTTTCAGGTATTTTTTTCTTCCTCCCCATTAATGTCTCTAATCTATCCCCTCCTCTCTCTCTCCACTAAACCTATTAATCACTATCTTTCTTCTTGACCTAGGAGAAGGTAGGTCCAGTACAGTGGCCTAACTGGATCCCTGCTTTAAATTTCTGCCACTTCCAATCCATCCTCCAGAAATACGCTTCTAAAACACAACTCTGGGGTCATGGTGTAGTGGTTAAGTGTGCCTGCTCTGTTGCTGGCGGCCCGGGTTTGGATCCTGGGTGCACACCGATGCTCGGCTTGTCAGACCATGCTGTGGCGGCGTCCCACATAAAGTGGAGGAAGATCAGCATGGATGTTAGCTCAGGGCCAGTCTTCCTCAGGAAAAAGAGGAGGATTGGCATGGATGTTAGCTCAGGGCTGATCTTCCTCACAAAGAAATAAATAAATAAAACACAATTCTGATCATGTAGCTCAATTGATTATTTACCTTTTATGCCACCTGACTTGCCCAGTGATATCATTGGAGCCAAGTTGGATCTCCTCAGAAGGAAACATAAAGCTCTTTACCATCTGCATCCATCTTCTGCCATTCCTCTCACATCCTAGTCACCAATCACGTGAGACATCTAGCTGCCGACTGAATACAACATGCAATTCTGAGCTTGTAGGGCTTACATGTAGTTTCCTCAGCCTAGAATTCCTTCCCATATTTTTCCTTCTCATAAACTCCTACTCACACTTTAAGATCCAGCTTAAACGTCCCTGCATGAAGAGTTCCTTTTCCTAGTATCAAAGGCAAAATTAATTGATCCTTTCTTCATGTTCTCATAGACCTTTAGGAATTATAAGGTCAATCACATTAAATTGTAAGTATTTTTGAAAACTTATCTTATCCCTACAGGCTGTGAGCTCCTTGAGGGCAGAAACCACATTTTACTTATTTTTGTATACCTACCATATAGTCCATGCTTTAAATGAATGGAATTATAGCACCTGGGACTAGATTTTTCTTTATTGTTAATTTACATATTTTTTTAACCTGGAAGACTTAAACCACTTTAACAGAGACAGAATTCTAATTAGAATATCTGTAGTTCTTTGCCTATATTTATTCTTCATTCTTCTCTTACCCATCTTCCCAGAAAAGCAGACCTATTCTTGCTCCCTCCCTGTAGCCCTTCACAACCTTTTCACTGACTCCTTCAAGGATATCAGGGTTGTGGTTTCATTGTTCATCTTCTTAAGGCAAAATGAAAGGAAACAAAACAAGCAAAACAAAAACCCAATAGAGGTTTGAGTCCAGGTTTTCTGCTGTCTTCCACTCAGCAACAGGCAGCAGCAGTGTGAGTATTCGATCTAAATTTTGCCTGAAAGGTCACTCAGTACAAGAAGCTTTTAATAGCTTGTACATCCAAATATAGTTTCAAAGAACTGATCGTGTGAACACAGGTGTCCTGGAATGCACTATAATATTTGCCTTTGAAAAATGAGCCGCAGTACGTCAATATAGCATAACAACCAGATGTAATTGTGGCTCTATGTATATTCTGGTATATGTATATATTGGAAATAAAAACAGACATAAAACAGGATTCCTGAATTCAAGGGATTTAAACTCTACTGGGGAGATAGGACATATAGTTAAAAAGAAAATTTATATAAAACATTGTTTGCGGGGCTGGCCCCGTGGCGTATCGGTTAAGTGTGCACGCTCCACTGCTGGCGGACCCGGTTCGGATCCCAGGCACGCACCGATGCACCGCTTGTCAGGGCATGCTGTGGCGGCGTCCCACATAAAGTGGAGGAAGATCGGCACAGATGTTAGCTTGGGGACAGTCTTCCTCAGCAAAAAGAGGAGGACTGGCAGATGTTAGCTCAGGGCCGATCTTCCTCACACACAAAAAAACAAAAAACAAAAAACATTGTCTGCTACATAGGTACTAGCAGACCATAAAAATCATAGAAGTTGACAGAGTAGCTCACTGAAGCCTTAGATAATTGAGAAACACTCACACTGAAGGTAGGATTTGGGCTTGGCCTTAAAGGACATGTAGGTCTTTGATTATCAGAGAAAAGAGGGAAGGGTTTACAAACTGGAGAAACTGTGTGAGCAAAATTGCAGAGATGGCAAAGTACATGATGTGGTCAGGGAACAATAAGTGAGTATGTCTTAAGCAAAAGATTCATATGAGAAAAAGAAAAACAACATTTAAACTGATAAGAGCCAGGTCGTGGATTTATTGATTCATTGAATAATTTATTCACTTATTCAGTATTTACTGAAAACCATAAATGTCAATTGAATGGATAAAACCTATGAATGAATGATCAGCACTATTCCAGGTATTGAGAATACAATGACGAGTAAGGCAAAATCCTTGCCCTAAGGAGCATACTCGTAGGGAGACAGAACACACGGATTATAAAAGAGTGGATGGTTCTAGACAGCCTAGTGAGGAATTTGAACATATGTGAGCTGTTAGTTCTGTAAAGTTAATCTAGCAGTGGTGTTTAGGATGGATCCAAGTGGGAATCAAACCAGAGGCAGAGAAGCCCCTCAGGAGACTGCTATCACCGTCAGATGTGAGGTGATGAGGGCCTGGGTTACAATGTTGGTCCTAGGAGCGGAAAAGCAAAGGAACAGATCTGAGAGGCATTATAACTCCCCCAAGGACTCCTGGGGGTTGGAGTCAGTAAGTCTCACATGCATCTTCAGAAAAGTTTGGATGCCCTGAGGGAATCAAGTCATTCCTTGCCTCAGTGGGAAAAACATTGCTAGGGTCTTCGTGTCCTGCCAAGTGGCCATCCTCCCTACCCCACCACTTGGCTACTTTTATTTCGTTAACAGAATCCAAATTTTGTTCGAGTATTGGGCAGCTTTGTGCTTCAGGGGAGGCTGGGCCCCTTCTTAGTCACAGGTGGGTGAATCTTAATTAGATTAAGACAATTATAGTAATTTCATTATTGTTGCCATTATCATTGGTTTAGCAACAGGCAGGTGGTAGAATTTTGGCCTATGAAATGTGAGAGGAGGTCTACTATGGGGCTTCTGAGAAAAGTTTTTTTTTAATTGTGATAAAATATACATAAAATTTACCATTTTGGTGGAGGTTGGGTGAAATGGGTGACGGTAGTACATATCCATTTTGTACCAAAAGATATAAACTTCCAGTTATAAAATAAATAAGTCCTGGGGATGTAATAAACATCATGGAGACTACAGTTTATAATATTGTATTGTCTATTTGAAAGTTGCTAAGAGAGTAGATCTTAAAAATTCTCATCACAAGAAAAAAATTATAACTATGTGTGGTGATGGATGTTAACTGGACTTATTGGGGTGATCATTTCTCAATATATACTTACATAGAATCATTATGTTGTACACCTGAAACTAATATAATGTTATATGTCACTTACATCTCAATTTTAAAAATTTACCACTTTTGACCTTTTAAGTGTACTGTTCTGTGACATTAAGTACACTTACACTGTTCTCCAACTATCACCACCATCCCTCTCCAGAACTTTTTAATCTTCCCCAACTGAAACTCAGTAACCACTAAATACCAACTGCACATTCTCTCCTCTCCTCAGGCCCTGAAACCACCATTCTGCTTTTTGTCTCTGTAAATTTGACTACTCTAGGTCCTTATATAAGAGGAATCATACAATATTTGTCCTTTCATGACTGGGAGAAAAGTTTTTCTTATGATAAAAAGAGACACATAGGAGAGAGTAGTCTTTCTTCATCTGTCGATATGTTGAATGTTCATGTGATGCCTGGAACTGCAGCAGCCATCCTATTATGACCATGAGGGGACCCAGCCTCAGGGCAAGCCAGGACAGCATAGCAGAAAGATGAAAAGAACCTGTCACAATGGAAAACAGTATGGAAGTTCCTCAAAAAATTAAAAAATAGAAGTACCATATGATCCAGCAATCCCACTTCTGGGTGTATATATATCCAAAGGAAATGAAAACAGGATATTGAAGAGGTATCTGCACTCCCATGTTCATTGCAGCATTAATCACAGTAGCCAAGTGTCTTGACATGAGTACAGCCATGTTTGGCCGTTCCATTAACCTACAGCCACCAGCACACAAGGAAATATAAAACTGCTTTCTGTGTAGTGGGAACTGGCCTTTCTCCCACAGAGATAGTTGCAATTTGTGAGAATTTCAAGGTCCTTTGGGTGTCACGGCCTGGGGCAGACTGGCCATCTGTGCCGGGCTGGGATGATAGCCAGGAGGCTCAGTGCACGTATGCCACTGATAACCATTTGTGCATGGGAACACTGAATGCTTGCTCTGTAAACTCTGTAACTGCTTATATAAACTGCTGGAAACTGAGGCCTGGTGAGAGTCTCACCTGTGGAGGGGACTGCCTGCCCAGGACCTCTGATGATCAGATTCCTGCCCAGCCGTGTCAATTGAAGGGACTCTCCCCGGCAGTGGGGCATGGATGTTGTCAGTAACCGATCTGAGGTGTTCTCTTTTCGGTCAACCTGGTGTTTCTCTTTCCGGTTGATTTGTGTCATTTCCCTTCAGTCAATGTGGATGTTTTCCCTTTCCAGTCGATCTGATGTTTTTCTCTCTCATTATATGACCTATTCAAATCTGCTGCTATCTCAGCCAATGTAGATGTTTTCCCTTTCAGTCCAGCTGGTGTTTTTCCCTCTTATTACTTGACCTATTCAGATCTGTTGGAGGACTATCGCCTTTACTATCCTCTATATAATAAAAAATACCTTCAGTCCATTTGTTTGGAGTGGAAAGTTTCTTTTATATCTCCGATCGAATCCCCGAACCTCTCATAACACCAAGATATGGAAACAATTTAAGTGTCTAAGACAGAAGGAAATCCTGCTGTTTGTGACAATATGGATGGATCTTGAAGGTATTATGCTAAGTGAAATAAGCCAGACAAAGAAAGACAAATACTGCATGGTATCACTTATATGTAGAATCTAAATAAAAAGTCAAACTCATAGAAATAGAGAATAGAAAAGTGGTTGCCAGGGGCTGGGGAGTGAGGGAAATAGGGAGAGGTTGATAAAATGGTAAAGAAAAAAAAATTTTTTTAAGGAAAAGAACCTATTACTGAATTAACCTCCCCTAGAACTGTTCCATCACTAGCATGCTTATTGTGAGGAATAACAATTTTGCCTTATTGATTAAGCCTTTTATAGTTGGCATTTCTGTCCTTAAGGAGTTAACAGTTCAGTGAAGGAGACTTTATCTTTCAGAGTCTTCTTTGCTGAGGTTTCTTCTGAAGCTCTTCATTTTTCTGGAGCTAACATTATTTTCTTATGGGTAGATGTGTGGCCAGAACCTTGACAAGGAAATAAAACAAAGGAAGGAAAGAATGGTGGGGACTCTGATGTAACCTAGTATCTCTGTCTTCAGCCCACTCAGAGTAAGCCATTCTAGGACCAGCCCCCAGCTCCTGGAAAAACATTTAGAACAGGGCAAAAAGCAAACAGTTCTGCTCCAGGATCCGAGCTTGCCAATTCCACCCACCAGTGCTGTTTCCTCCAGGAAGCTGCCTGCCTATCCAGATCTAGTACTTGTTCCCTTCTCCCTGCTTTTATTGACTGCCTCTTATCTGTGTAGACCTAAACAGTACCCGCTGATCTTTCCATCCTTGATTGCCTCTCGGTATTTGGCCTTTTGTCTGCCCAATCTTTTGTGATTTCCTGATCTCTTCTGCAAGGCTCATCTTCCCTACTCTCCTTGTCCCCTGTCGTATTGCTTTCCAAACTTTTTAAACTGATGAACTTTATCTTTTAGAGAAGTTTTAGACTCCCAGCCAAATGAGCAGAAAATACAGAGTCCCTATTTACCCCCGCCCTCACACGCACACAACTTCCCCCACTATTGACATCCTGCACCACAATGGTACATTTGTTACAATTGCTGAACCAACATCGACACATCATTATTGCCCAAAGTCCATAGTTTACATTAGGGTTCACTCTTGGTGGTGTCCATTCTATGAGTTTTGACAAATGTATAGGAACTTGTATCCACCACTGTAGTATCATATAGAATAGTTTCACTGTCTTAAAAATCCTCTATGTTCTGCCTATTCATCTCTCCGTTTCCCCAAACCCCTGGCAACTACTGATTTTTTACTGTCTCCATAGTTTTGCCTTTTCCAGAATGTCATATAGTTGGAATCACATAGTATGTAGGCTTTCAGAGCAGTTTCTTTCCCTTAGTAATATATATTTAAGTTTCCTCTATGCCTTTTCATGGCTTGATAGCTCATATCTTTTTTGCAATGAATAATATTGCATTGTCTGGATGTATTACAGTCTTTATCCATTCACCTGCTGAAGGAATCTTGGGTGCTTCCAAGATTTGGCAATTATGAATGAAGCTACTATAAACATCTGTGTGTAGGTTTTTGTGTGGACATAAGTTTTCAATTTA